GATTACATTTTGAATTGTAAACCTACTGATTNCTTCCTTCCCAAGGGAAAATTCTCGTCGTGCTTTGTTGATAGTTTTCGCACGACTTTTGGAAATGTTTGCCGCACGAACTCGTCCATCGCTTTCCTTTGCATTTTATGGACGCCTTGTCCGCGAAACTCCGGTAAAACGCGGCCTGCACGACTGATAAATGACCTTCCTTCGTCAACAACAGAACACACAAGTAGTCCTACAGGTTTCTTGTCTGCAAAAGAAAGCATTACAGCTGAATTTTCCATTTTCATCCATGTGTGGAATCTGACGGGTACATAGTCGTGCCCATTGTAGATTCCTTCTGACAGTGTCAGAATATCGTCGAAGTCGTTCAATCGAGCGAGACGACAAGTGAGCTCATGGTTGAGAATCCGTGAATGATGGACTCCTCGTGTCGTTATGGCTCTACCCTCTATTAACAGAGTGTTGGCCATTCCCAGCGACTCAGGGAGCACCAAAGATAGACATCGAAGAGAGCGCGGTCTTAAGAGCATAGCGACTATCAGTGGCTATCTGTAGTCATGATTTACGGTCGTTTCGCCAACAACTCGTTCGCCAACGTCCTAGGTCGATTCGCCAACGTCCTAAGTCGCTTCGCCAACGTCAGATATTCAGTACTAACGAAAAAAAAGCCGCTTTTTGGTGTTTGGAATGCAATCCTGATCCTTGGGTGATCCTTGGGTCAAGAAATTTTAAGTCACTGCCAGTTTTGCTTGACTGACTTTAGATCAATTTGCATATTTTTGATAGTTTCACAAGCCGGCTCGTGGCTCGTGGCATTCACGCAACAATTAATAATGGTAATAGGACTGAGTGGAGTCCAATTTGGTCTGTAATCATACTTAGTTCTTATTAACCGAGCAGGAGGTCTGTATGGAAGAATCTTGACCGAGGTCGTGAGTACAGACCGAACGCTGTGAGGTCTGTACACACGACCGAGGGGAGAAGCTTGACCGAGGTCGTGAGTACAGACCGAACGCAGTGAGGTCTGTACACACGACCGAGGTCAAGATTCTCCCATACAGACCGACTTAGCTCGGTTAATACGATGTTTATTATATGGCAAAGAAGAAAACTTAAATTCGTTTAATGTAACTGTAACTATGACAAAATTCGAGAAACGAACAAACCATCGATTGAGCGCTGAACGATTAAACTTCGTTATGAATGCTGAAAAACACAGCAGTTTATTCAACAAAGTGCACCGCAACAGCGCGCGCAAAATGACGCGTACTGTCCAATTACAAGTATGACGCTTACACTGTCCAATTAATGCTCAAATCGAGCCGCTGATAGCCAATCACGTTCGAGAATTTTGTTATAGTTTTGATTAAAATTTAAAATTACCGATCAAAATTTTTCAGTAGTGGACCGAACGTTTTTGCCTCTGGTTTTCGATCTTTATATCCTGCGAGCTCTCTAATTCTCGAGAGCTTACTAGTAGTATGTACCCTTTGTCCTTTTAACTCATCAAGATCAAACTCGAGACTGTCATTCGCCGGTTTCCGTGCAGATCACTTATTAGCTGAAGAACTTGCTGCAAAAGTGAATATCATGCAAATAGACCATTTTACAGTTGTCTGCTCAGTGACCTGGCCTTTGTATCGTAGCGAGGCTAGAGTTGACCTTGTTTTGATACATACCTCACTGCTTTTGTTGTGTAAAACAAGCCGTTCTGATGCTAACTAGGTGCATTTACATGACAAAAGCAGTGAGGTCTGTATCAAAACAAGGTCAACTCTAGCCTCGCTGCCATACAAAGGCCAGGTCACTGAGCAGACAACTGTAAAATGGTCTATTTGGCAGCAGCGCATAGCGAATAATGAAAATAGATTGCCCTGATTTTTTGATTCATGTTGTTTTGATATCGTATGAGGACCATTCCTTTCCACAATGCTCATTTCGACTTGATATTGGCCCTACAAAGTGTTTCAATGCAAGCGAGTAGAATTTGGCGAATCATGAATTTTCATATAGACTACGAGTAGTTCCTCTTTTGCTTTGTCCGTCCTGCGTGACGCGAAAGAAAACCGTGAGAAAAAAATGGCCGCGCGAAATCCTGGAGGCGAGGAGTGCGCTCCTCGCCTCCAAGATTTCACGCGGCCATTTTTTTCTCGCGGTTTTCTTTCAGCTTAGACGGACTAAGCGAAAGAGGGACTACTCGTAGTCTAATTTTCATATTAATTTATACGTAATTAAGAAGGCAAAATTCGTCTTTTCGCGAATTTCATGAAAACCATAAATGTTGTATTCGAAGACAGTTCCCTAAAAACGTTCTTGAGGCAGAGTATCAGGATTTTTGGATTTTCGAGCTTGGCCAGCAATAAGTTTGAGAAGTGACACAGAACGCTGACCTACATCAAAAGCAAACTGAGCACATGTCAAAATTTTATGAGTGCAAAGTAAACTTGGCGTTAAATCACGAGGCATTTTGACGACTACTTCAGCTTTAAATTTTGCTAGGCCTACAGTAAAATACCGCTAAATTGACTAGTCATAGTGCGCGCAGAAACTGAGAGATGAAATAATACCGCGTAATACTGCAACGTTCATGAAACATTCCCTCGGAAAAAATGACGACTACTGAACTGAAGCGAGTCATTTTCGTATAGTACATTGTTGAGCAGACATTCTTGGAGACTCCTCGATGACAAAATCTTTTCCTTCTTAGATTGATTTAATATATGTCATGTAAGAAAAAGAAACAGCATGGAAGAAGAGCGCTGCTGAAGTTTTAGGCTGAAAAATTTAAGTTCCAGGAAAATAAAACAATAAATAAACATTAAATCACTTTATTTAAGTGTCGAAGTGTTAAGCACTGCTGTGCTAATTGAGGACACTGAAATAGGCCAACAAATATTGTGAATTTAACAGAAAATTGTTAAAAATCCCAACTGGCTTGAGGCTGACTAGTTGGCTATTTACAAAGCGTGGAGGAGTTGAATCTGGGACCACCAAACGCAAATCTATCTACTGGCAGGGAGGAGGATTTGAACTCGGGACCTCGGGATTACAAATCCAGCGCCCTATCCAGTAGGCCACGCTGCCTCCACAAAGGACATAAATCGCGCGCGAGTTTTTTTGATACTGAACTAACTTAAATTGAGAAAACTAAGTTAACTGAACTGATTGCCTTCCGGTTTCCCGATCTGCTAGTAGTTGTTAGTATATGATGGAAAGCAACTTTACGTTAGATACACGTGCTCAAAAAGGAATCATCCCAAAGATATCATCAATCCCATAAATTTGATTTACTGTGGAGGCGGCGTGGCCGAGTGGCTGATGGCGCTGGATTTGAATTCTGGAGTTCCCTGGTTTAAATCCCCTTGCACCCTACCGCTATCTGGATTTGTTCTCAGCAGCCCCAAGTGCCACTTCTCGACCACGCTGTGTAAATAGCCAAATGGTCAGCCTCCGGTTGCGATTCTTAATACTTTATGTTCTATTTGCAATATTATGCTGTATTTTGGATCAACTTCCAGAAGATCGTCTTTGAACTTTGAAGGCTTCGAACAAACTGAATGTTTTTACCGATGGATGACCCCATAGCATTGTGTCTATCTTGCTATTGGCTGTAGTACATGTACCAAAAAATACACCTCGGTTTGTTAGTCTCGTAGTGAATACAATCCTTGGTTAGAATCTGTTCCACGAAAAACGTTTTCCCACATTGCGTGTGACAAAACATAGCTTCTGGAAAAGGTTGTGTTGTCAAGGTAACCTATTGGTTCAATTTAGGTCTCTTGACAGCGGGTGTCGTTTCGTTCACCGAGACCAGGGTGAAGGGATAGTGACTCATTTTGGACTGCATGTGATTTGCCTTGTTCAGAACAATCATGATCCTTATTATAACAGGTGGAACCCCCCCCCCCCCTCCCGCCTCCCGATATAGTGAAGATCTAAATCTGTTATTGAGTGATTATGAAGAAAGGAGTAATGGCTACAGTTAGATCACTGTTGAACAAGGATGGTGATGATGATGACATTGGTCATAGCCATGCTGACGACTTTGACAGAATGCTATAGTTATTATGATGATACTTGTTTTTATTAATAGGAAGAAGAGCCTCACCAAGATTCAGAAGAATTGAAAGATGAAGACATTCCACCTCCATCTGGACCTGAGGACGAATGGTGACGAAATGAATTGTTCTTTTTTTAATTAATTAAGATTTCATTTGATGACCAGCCACACACTAATCTAATGTGCCCCTCTTGTAATTTTCATTCCATAAATTAAGCCTACAGTGCAAAGATAAGTCCAGGACCGGGTTGTTCGAAAGCCGGTTAAGGCTAACCCGAGTTAAAAGTTGACTGAAGTATTATTTTTCTTGTATAAAAATGTTTTTCACTGCTAATGTTATGTGTAGTTTGCGATTATTCAAACTCAAAACTGAAGGACAAGCAATATAAATACAAAGACCCTCACCGTAAAGTTGCAAACCTCAATTCAAAATTCTCGCTTACCCTGGCTTAGCTAAATCGGGTTTGAACAACCCGGCCCTTTACACTTAATTTTCGAATCTGGGTGGGTACAGAAAGGGACATTCCATGTTGCTGAGAGCGTGGGAATGACAGTCAGCTTGGGCTCTCGTACTTTTCAACTCAAAGACTTCACCTAAAGCCAACAGTTACCACTAATCTGGGTTACCACCATGACTCGTGCATATTCTAGTGGAACCCTGCTGTTGCCATCCCTTCAGGGAAATGAAAACTTGCTTAAGTTTTAACCTGGAGTAAATTAATAATTTCTATAAATTAAGGAAACCATTTTCCCTTAGAAAGACTCACGACAACTGAGTTTGAGATGCTAAGATGCTACAGAAACTGTATATTAAACTGCCTGGCTAATAGGTTATTTCAATGAATGTCCTTTGAATGGATCTTAGGGTTGACTATGTGGACTCACTGGGTAGAGAGAGAAGGTGTCTGCGTAAGGATCTTAAACATTTGCAAGATATGGACAAGGATATGAGTGCAAGAAAGAGGTAACCACACGACTCTTATTACACTATGAAACCTTTCATAGACCTTGTTACCTTCTCTGACAGTGTCATTCAATATTTATGGCATGTGTGCAGTCGGGGCCAAAAACGTCGTGCATGCTACCTCCTTGATGTATGATAATTCGTTTGATTATATGGCTAGCTCTGTTAGCAGGCAAGATGAACCAAATCCTGCGCTAAGATAGGCTACCCGGGCGGGTAAGATGTGCCTATTTTGCCCGTTCGGGAACACCCGCTGAGTCCCACAAGGATATGGTGCTTCTTATGCATATGATAAATCCTTTATTGACCAGGCTCGTTCGGTCAAGATGGCTGGATATTGGCGTCGTTATTTGCTATGGACCTCGACTCCGTCTCGATCCATAAACACGCTAAAAAGGACTTAACCTATACCCAGCCATCTTGACCTTACGCTTAGACAATGACCCATATTTCTTCTTCTTCTCCTCCTCCTCCTCCTTCGTTTTTTTACACTCTGCGTTAAAGCCAAGAGAGTAAATCTCACTCCCATTGCTAACATTGCCTGTGCTTGCAGTCTCCCAACTCTTTTATCTGAAGACATGAGGAGAGAACTGATGAGGCAAGAGTGGGAGAAAGAAGAGGAAGAAGCCATGAATAAACCGGTTGGACCGGTTCATTATCAAGACACACGCTTTAGTGGTAAATATCACTTCTACTATTAAATCTCATGCTGTTGTCGGCAAATCATCGTTAAAGGAAACCTCAGGCTTTCGCGATTCATTGTCCTCGGTATCATTAATTTGTTACTCGAACATTGAACTTTGTAATGGCCAAAGCGCGGTCGAAATGTCATTCGCTTTTACCAGCAATTTTTATTTTCAAGTTGGGAATTAAGTAAATTTTAAATAAAATAAGATTGTCATTAATAATGCTTTTGAAATACATTAGCATGTAAAAACTAACGATACAATGTCCCGGGCGTTTCATTCCTTTCATTTCATAATGGCCTCACGATGTCGCTGAAACGTCGGAACATTATATCGTTAGTTTTGACTTGCTTATGTCATAAGATTGTCTCGATAATATTATTCTCCCCTTTGTGTTGCACCTCTCGTAAGGTCTCACATGAATGGCCCGATACCCTTTGAGAGGACCATAGAACGAAACAACAGAAACATTGCCCCTAGCCCTAAAACAATAAGAGCTTCTACAGTGATAAAACAAAAGCAGCTTACAAAAACTGCTACACTTCTAAGCACTAGAAAACTTTCCAGCATGTACACGTTTTTCTTCCATTTTTTTCTGACAGAAATTCGCAATCATGGTGTGGGTTATTATCAATTTTCAACCAGCGAAGAACAAAGACAGGAACAGATGAAGACGTTAGATAAACTAAGAGAACAGGTACTTACTGGAAAACAGAAATTAAATAAATGTTATGAGCACCATCAGATATTTTTGGGTCTCTGTAAAACGGGAACCGGAAGGTTGGGGAATGGCGGATGGTGGATGGCGGATGGCGGGTGGTGGATGGCGGATGGCGGATGGCAAAATGTGCATGACAAAATGCGGATGGAAAAATGCGGATGACAAAATGCGGATGACAAAATGCGGATTTTAAAATGCGGATAGTAAAATGCGGATTTTAAAATGCGGATGACAAAACGCGGATAGAAAAATGAGGATGGTAAAATGCGGATAGAAAATTGCAAATGACCATATGCGGATGATAAAATAATTATCAGGGGAAATTAACTTACGATGTTTTCTAACGGGCCTACGTGTAAACAAACTAGGTCATCTTATAGAAGATAGACCGGGAGAAATCCAATACTTTTTATCCAATCACAAAACAAATCAAGATCAAAAATAAAACGGAACAGTCTTGATCGAATAATGACAGACTAGACTTCCATTTTATCATCAGACTCCGTTCTTCTGTCACTACGTCGAAGGACTTTCACTGTTTATACCTAAGCAAATTTCCCCTGCAGGAAACAGTCATTGTCAAATTAAATGAAACACCGCTACAGTAACCGGTCGCGTCCCACTGTACCCTAGTTGAAAAGTTTGCAAGGCACATACAAGGAGCGTTTGCACATGCACAAGACTCTTTAAAACGCGTCTTCAAAGACTGGTGACTCTCGCCTAGTGCAAGTGGAAGAGCACGGACGACGGAGTTTATATAGCGCCGATTCCCTGAACAAAGTTACCTTTGTTTGATAGATCGAACGTCGGCCTTACCTTTATCTTAACCTTTCCTCGGTGTGCTTTTGTGGTGAAAAAGCTGGTTGATCAGCGTCAAATAAACAGGATAAGGCCTTCAGATATCGAACAGGTACCGAGCGTTTTTACAACTTTTGCTCTGATACAGATTTCATGTAATTAAAATAGCGAAGAACAAAAACCGAATACAAGGAATAAATGTTTTTAGAGTTCTTTTACATGTAGGGTAGTTCTATCACACTACTACTACTAGCATAAATTTGGCGATTTTCTTGAAAATTACGAGAAATTGTGAGAAATAAAGAAAATGTTACATAAAAGGAAACCGAACAAATGGCAACATTTAAATTCTACAAAGACATTGAATTCTAAATATAGAAGAGCTAAAAATAGTACTTCCACGTTCTTTCCGGCGAACTCCGTCAAAGTCGGCAGGAATTTTTACAAACAAAATTAAATAAAAATCAGAATTATCAGAAATATCTTTGCTTCGTGTTTCAACTTACGAAAAGTCAGAAATTTCTTACAATTGGCATTATATAGAAATTATTTCACAGCTCTTTTTTTCATACAGCGTAACCCTGTCCGCCAGTAACAGCTGAAGAGTGTCCTTAAAATTTTGTTTGTGAAAATTCCTGTAGACTTTGACGGAGTTTGCCGGCGAGAACGTGGAAGTACTATTTTTAGCGCTTATAAGTCTCGAATTCAGTTTCTTTCGCTACGTTTTAATTGAATGAGATCTGTAACCGAGCAAAAGCTGTAAAAACGCGCTGTACCCGTTCGATATAAGTTCAAGGAATCGTCGCTATATAAAGCTCCATCGTCCGTGCTCTTTCAATTTCGCTAGAGTCAACGGCCTTTGATGTCACGTTGTAGAGTTCTGCAAATGCTCCATGTGCCTTGCAAACTTTTCAACTTGGGTATAGTTGGGCGCGATCGGTTACTGTAGCGGTGTTTCATTTAATTTGACAATGCCTGCTTTCTGCATTGAAAATTGGCTTAATTGTAGACAGCGAAAGTCCTTCGATCTAGTGAATGAAGAACGAAGTCTGACGATAAAAGTCTTGTCCGTTATTACTGGACTTCTCCCGGCCTAAATTCTATAGCTGGCCTGGTTTATTTACAACTAGGACTTTCAGGAAACATCGTAAGTTAATTTTTTCTCGTAAGGATTTTATGATCTGCATATTGTCATTCGCAATTTTCCATCCGCATTTTGTCATCCGCATTTTTGCATCCGCGTTTTTGCATCCGCATTTTATCATCCGCATTTTTCCTTCCGCATTTTGTTATCCTCATTTTTCCATCCGCATTTTGCCATCCGCCATCCGCCATCCGGTCCGCGTTTTACAGAGACCCGATATGTTTTCTCGTGATTTACCTAAAAAACGTGACCTGACGTTATGTAAATCCGAGGTAGATTGATCAGGTAGCAGCTCTCGCAAGGTCTCACATGAATGACTAAGTACCCTTTGAGAGAACAATTAAAACAAACAACCGCAAAAATTCCCCTGAGGACAAAACAGCTGCTAACCAATGACGACAAATAGAATTACAAGTTTACGTGAGCTGCTACACGTGCGGGTTTATATCTCGGGTTATCTCCCGAGTGATATCCCACAATCTTCAAAATTTCTCTTTTGAAATTCGAAAGTTTAGTTTTCGTCCAGCATAAAATGTGTAACTGAATATAAATGACGTTTTTTTTTTTTTGATATGCATGGTTTATTTTGCTTTGATCATCTGTCATTTTGAACGTTGGCTTGTGTTCTTTAGAGCGAAGTGGCATTTTCATTAGAAGTTACCTCCCCGACCACTAACGTTCTTTATCCCATCAGACAATGGAACAGCGAGTTCGGACTCAGAAGTTGAAAGACAAACGGAAAGCTGCGTTGGACGCTCGTCTTGCTAAAGTGCGAGAAAGGAAATTAAAAAAGCTTAAAGCATCGGGGGAGCTAGACGAGGAATCAAACGAGGACAGTGGACAGACGGAAGGGAAAGAAGAGAAATTGTTAGGCAATGTCGGGCAACCGACAACAGAGCAAGATGTTAAGGGAGGTTTGCCTGATCCGACAACAGAGCAAGATGTTAAGGGAGGTTTGCCTGATAGAGAGAACGACGACGTTGTTTCGGTGCAAAAAGCTGAATTACCGGAATGGGCGCAACACAAAATAAGTAAGTCAACTGCACTGTGCAATTGTACAGTACTTATTCAGTGAGTCTCCATGTCACTTACCATTTCTTTTTCAGTCGTTTTGATTTCTGTCTTGATTCATGTATAGTAGTACCTCACCTCACCTGAATTCTCCTACCTTCGTTTCTCTTTAGTGGATATGCTACTGGGATAATAAACAACTAGTCGTAGATTTACGGTCTGTAAGGGGGAGACCCGTTTTGTTGGAAGAATGGCAAATCCGGAGGGTCACTCAATTTTTCTCCCTCCTACTGCCCGCCATTTTCTTTGAGGACCACTTCAATACTGGTCTCCCCACCCTTTAACCAGCAAAGTACCCATCATAATTCCCCTCCCTCTTCCCGTTGCCTTCGGAACCCCTCTGATCCAGCAGTGACACCTACATCTTTCCACAGAGCAACCTGATAAACCGCGGTCATCATCACACAATGATCCACGATCCGAGCGAGATCAGCAGTTTGCACCTCCCACCTTTTACTATGAAGACAATGCGAGACAGAACACTAAAACAACTTGGACGGAATCCCCAAAACTGTTTCATCAAAAGAACGAAATAAACAATAAAAGACATGAGCCACAAACTGAACGTCGCGATATACCTCATCAGGAATTAAAAAACGAACACAAGCCTCAAGAACAACAGCAGTTACAACAACCGCCACTCGAGCGTCTACCACCCCCTGGGTATCCTCCGTTTCCACCTCCCGCACAGGAATTTGTTCAACCGCCGTGGACTGGATACCAGTGGCATCCACCTCCAAACATGCCACCACCGCCACCTCACCAAGTTCCATGGCAACCAAATTTTCCTTTGAATGTTCCACCACCTCCTCAATCGCTATGGCAACCAAACATACCTCCATGGCAACCTTACCAAGGCCTGTATACCAGGATGGCTATTCCTGTTTCCAGTACACACGCGGCCTGGAGTGGGAATCCTTCAATTTCTAACCCTTCCCTCCCTGGGAAAGAGGCGTCTACGGACGGTAACAAAACAAAAGCTGTAGAGAATTCAGATACAAAGATTGAACATGATCAGAGTAAGGAAAGAGCAGTGCCCACAACACAAGAACTGGCAGGCTTTGTAGCGCAATGTCGTTCAAGCACTTGAAATTAAGTGCCATGCTCAAAATATCAATTTTACTTTCTGAATTCCACCATTTCATTTGACTATAGTTCTGAGAATTTGGGGCAATATCAAGACAATATCCTCCAGTTGACGATTTTATTGGACAACGTGAGAGTTGAAGGTTTAGCGGTTATTCTCAACTTTCCGTTTCAGCTCTAAAGAGCTAGCTCATGGGACCAACTTCCGTTTCGCAGCTTGCCACGCTTACCAAAACAACAAATATTAGAATAAATATAATTTAACGAACAGGAATGGTAAGAAGGTTTATCTGAAACACGGTGTAATTTAAAGTTTGTCGCTTTTTAGATTTTTCTAAATTATTTTCTGAACAAAATGCTGAACTTTATGCCCAGATCTTTATCACTTGTTTGCTTCCCGTCCAGAATAGTCGACGACAGGGCAGAACTCAAAACGTGTGTCGAGCAACTTCTGCAATTTCCACCAGAATCGAAACACGTCTAACCAGCACGATTTCTAGAATTGTCCTTGAGATCTAAGCCATTACAAACATGATAGGAAGAGATTTTAATTTAGAGCGACTTTTCTCGATAACATCATATCACTTTCCCTCTCGAAGTGTTTCCGGAAGACGTTGACAACTTGTTTCAGCTTCATTCGTGACCAGCTCAGGAGTGTCGGTTCCATCACGCACGTTTTCCGACAATTTTCGACCTATAGTTAATTACAGTAATATTTCTAAGAACAAAGAATGAAACCGCTCACAGTTGTTTGTTTTTCCGTTCGATATTCGTTTCGGTAAAGCAACGAGGGCGGCGCGGGATCACGTCCTTGACCGCAATAACTATATACAAAACACAGATCACGCTATGAACGACACACACGCGATAGGTTCAGATACATAGTTTCCTTGTCTCGATGAACACTTGCGATTCTCATTGAACAGGAAGGTTTATAAGAGGAAACTACTGTTTCAGTCGGTTCTGAGTTTCTTTTCACAGTCAAACTATTCGTGTAATGTCTCATTTGATGTAATTGGTCTGAATTCTTTGATAAGGTCAACATTGGAATAACGCGATATTTATATTGATACGGAATTTATCAGCCCACCACCCCAGGCTATATATTTACTTTGGGAAATATGCTTTGTCTTGCGCAGGGATTCACAGCACTGAACTATGCAAACATTGCAACGCTTTGCATTCCATTCCAACTTATTTGAAACATGCGTTTTTTGAACTTGGTTTTACATTCCAAACTGATGGGCAGAGCACACGAACTAGGTCAGTCAGTAATAATGTGTTTGTCGGTGACGAAAGAAATGTCTTCACGAACAAATTCCGTGTATGCGAGACTGAGAGATATTCTCCTTTTGCCACCTTTTTCAACCTCAAAGCCCAACGAGATATATCATTAATGATTGCAGTTAACGTCTTCTACAGTTAATTCCGACAGTTTAATTTACTGGTACATGCTTTAGAGTTTCTTGAAGTAGAGTAAGTAGATTATATTCTCGTTTCCTCTTTACTTAGCAATGTATCGATCTGGTAAGGAGAAGTTAGTTTTCGGCCACTCTAGAATATTTTAGGGTCGAGGCTTTTGCTCTACATTGTTGTCACAATACCCGACTGAGAACCTTGCCTTTATTCATGTGTCATCACTGAGTCTTGTGATGAGTGGAAAATGTCTTCACCAGTTATTAGTATGGAATGAAATCTGGTTTAAGTCTCTAAATTTCAAATCTAGGGCATTCTTCACACAGTGAACTCAGAAGTAATTAAAAGCGGGAAAAAACAGCAGCAACACACCCTGGATGCCTTTGCGGTCGTTGCTATTGTTACTGTATTTCAATTTTGATCATCACTGTTCGGCTGATGATTGTGACGTCACTCAAAGCGGTGTCAAGTGACGTCAAAATAGGACTCGAGTGATGTTCATCAACTGATAAGAAATTTACTAAACGAGAGGTGTTTCTTCGCGTCACGAAAACACAGGCGAAAATGCAACAACTCGTGCTTATCAGTCTGCTCTTCAAATCTTGAAAGTACTTCCTAAACTATTGTCATACCATCCTGGGCGTTGTCACAGACGTAAACAGAAGACTGAAAAGGTTTCATGTGTCGAACTCTTTACATTACTTTTGGAGTGGCGCTTGATCTGAAACGACCTGACAGCAGGAATTTTCTCCTTATTTTAAGGGTTTGCCTTGAGTTACATTCCACAAGCGGGTATTATTTGCTTGCCGACACTCGAACGTTGCTGGGCTTGAAAGGGAGTCTGTGAGAGCACATCATGCTAAATGCTTGGCCAGATTAAAATCAGCCCAGTTCTTAGAGAGCGACGAATCTCGGCCAGCCTCGTTAAGGGCCGCCTTTCACTTTCGAATCACTATTTTTTAAGGAAAAACTCATTCCAGTTGTGTAGGAGCAGAGGGGAAAATAAATGATCGATGATGATTCCTTTTTCAAACTAAACCATGGGGTGATTTTACCTAACTTGCAAAATGGTCTAGAGTAGAGTATTAGACCTGTTTTCTTAATCTTTGGATTTCTGCTGACTTCTGTTGTTTATTTGGGTATAAAAGAAACTGAATGTTAGCCATAAGTTTGAATTCTTCAGCCATCACAGGCAATAAGTAAATAATTTCCATACAAGGCAAAAGCAACTTTAACCTGACGCTGAAAAAGAGAGCAGCATAACCCAGCCCAGGTTTAATTACACCCTTTTAACTGACTGGACATGCTGGCGGTGCGTTTACAGAATGGCATTTTTGTGATGTCGTTTCGATCAAAAAACATGCTGTACGTAAGCGATTAACTCAGTAAAGAAAAGAAACAATGGCCGAGAACTTATTTTTTCTCTGCAGTAGAGTTCCCGCAATACACTACGTTCAATTTTGAATTACAATGAGATCATTTCTTCGTAAAACCATATTTACTGTTATGCTGGGCTTGATATGATATGTATCAGCTGATGACGTACGAGAAATAAAGTTTGGTGTCAAGACCAACCAGGATTGTGGCGTAAGATGAGACAAACACAGCATATGTTTTGGAAATTGACTCTTGGCGATTACAAGTCCCTAATCAAAAGAGGCGACAAGATGAAATGGAGACTGAATACAGACGGGAAATTAAAACTGGCACGTCCAAGATTGTTTTATACAGGTCACCCACGAGGCGAGAAACTTTAAGACAGAAATGAAGACATTATATCAGAAATCAACTTCTGCCACGGCGAACGTAATGGGAAAAGATGAACAAGAAATAGAAATCTTAACCCCGGCTGATCCTGTCGAAACTCTGAGACCGTACCACAAAAACAGACACCAGTCCTCGAGCAGCCGAACGAAAAGCAAAATAGATATGTAGAATAGGTGACAGATGAATTGTTTCTGGGCCCTATTATAAAACAGCAATCTTTGAGTGCTTTGAAAGATTGCGCTAAAGGTCCCAGGATGGCAAATGTGATATTAGAGCCTTGACTACACCAGCTTAGCTGAGACGGCCAAGACACACCTCGGACGGCGGACAGAAAAACGAATCACCGTGTTTCAGTCCATCGGTCGAGGGTTTCATTTTCATATCGCTTGCCAGTTTATTCTGCCCTTTGAGTCCTTAGCCGGTTGACATCAGCAATGGTTGACGGTTACAATTTACGCCCATCAGGACACTGAAATGTTCCAAACTTTATCGAGCAGAGGGAATGCAACTAAACGTTCTTCTGTCGCGTCGGCAATCACAAATACGGATTAACCTGTAAGCGCAGTTCCTGGCGACTCGATGTCCTTTATGCGGCTTTCCTTACCGGGCCACAAGGGCCGCCGGATTTTCTCGTGGTTTTCAACTTTTTTACCCTTCCTCTCAAAACTTATGTAATGTGTTAATAAGGCCTTTTTTGTTAGTACTTTTTGTGATTGGTTGCCGGCTGTCTTCGGGCTTCCCCGGCCCTGTTAGCTCAAAGCGGTTAATGGTTAGGGCTGGTCAGGGTTGAAATAACCCTGAAACTGAGTCGAACAAACAAAACTGAATTCAAAGTGTCCGTTCGCTCAGATTTGCTGAGCATTTGTCTATACAAGTCAGCGGGAGAAGTAGAAAGGTGTGGGAAAATTGAGGGTAGTGGTAGTCAAGGTAACGCTTTTAGTGTTTTTGTTTTGCTTGTTACCTGAGACTTAATGCTTCAAAAAGGTCAGTTCTCCTTTTTTGTGAGATTTTTCTCCTCTGAGTCATTTCCTGTACCCCTTGCAGTTAGTTCAGTCGTAGTCAACTAGCCTGAGTATCAGGAAGGCCTGAAGCTAGGGTTACACATCATTAGCATTTTATGGCGTCATGTAATGCTGAGATGCGAATTAACTAACGGAATTGTCGGTATCAAAGATTTGCGTCGGGATGTCATCAAAGCCCTTAGCTGGTAAACGGCTTTTGACTTTTTTCCTCTCTCAAATATTTTATTTGTAAAATGCGATGAATTCTTTGAGTGCAGGCTGAGACATATTGCAGACGTTTACTTTTTTTGTTTGTTGAACTACACTGACACAGAATTGTGATGAAGGAGAAGGAAGTAGTGAACAACTTTGAGTCATCGAGACACGAGCGCCACCTTGCCTGTCTTACAATAATACTTGTAGAGAGGAAGTGAGTTTTTCTCTGATGTAACAGACACCGCTTCTCTGCACTTGCTCGAAAAAAGGAGACATTTCAGTTTACCGAAAGCAACTTAACAGACAAGAGCGGCCTTTTAAGCGGATTTCAGCGCTTCTCAAAACAAGACCTTGGCAAATGAATTTATTCAGTTGAGAGCAACTGTTTATCCGCCGTGAGTGTCCTAGCTTCCTTTTCTTTTGTTATTTATTTTTCACTTTTGTTTTTTTGAAAAAATTCAGCATTCATCACCAAAAGTAATTTATTTACAGTTTCAGTACGTGTTATTTATCTTTCACTATTTTTCAGTAATTGTTGTGGTTTCGTGTTTAGCTTTCCTTTAATGTGATTAACGTGGCTTCCTGTCGAATTGACGTGAGCTCGCTCTCACGTTCGCTGTGACCTCGGACTTGGTGCGGGTCGGCCGTTAACCAATCAGAAAGCGTGAAGACATGGACGAATTTAGCACTTAGCGGGATTTACGTGGGCACATGAAAACAAAGGCGAGACCACCGACTGTATAAATAGGTCGCACCTCGTGAAATCTATTCATTCACAAACGACTTGTTTTGCTCGATCACATCGACTTGTTCGCAATGGGAAATACGGTAGATACGATTGAGAAGGAAGATCCTATGACCGACTCCGACTCAGAGCCAGGGGCAGTTGATATCATCATCGATTTAGATGCCCCTGAGTATCGTGAGTACCTCAAGGGTAAAAGAAAGAGCTTGAGCGAAGGAGCTCTGTTGAACGACATTTCATACCTAGAGTGGAGGAAGAACAACAACTTGATAGCTGCCCAAACGAACCTCGTCCTTAACGAAACGAGCAGGTAAGAGAGTATGGCGGAATCCCAAAAGTCTTATCTTAAAATCTACGTTTTGTACACATCCACGACATCCTTGAGCCGAAGATAAACATATTGGACTCGGCATTCAGTTACGTTTCTTAATATGGATTAAAAGCTTACAAAGCGGCATTTATCTCTGGTGTTCATACAAAGTAGTATTCTCAGAGGAAAAGCATACTGACTAATGTACATAAAGTATTTATTTCAACTTTATCTATTCAATCGTTCAAGCGATATCGCGATTTATCTTACACTACTCTTGAAAGAGATGTTGACTATTAAACTGAACGCCTGCTAAACCTGGCAGAGTGCAACCTCCTTCCATTCCTTAGTCATGCAATACTTGACTGAAGGTGCTGTAATTAAATATCGTTGAATAAGCGTAGGTATTCTTAAGAAGAATTTATCACATGCAAATTTAAACTTGTTAACTACTTCTTCATTGTCAAACGCTTGAAATGTGTGAAAAGTTTGTATTATAATGTACCATAACGTAGTAACCTCGCATCAACTTGATCGAACAAATATTATTAGAATTAAAAAGTAAACTATCGAAGCAGCTGTGGTTTTGAGAGGGCCTTACCCGTTACTCGATCTCGTAAACTTGTCATCATTGTCTCGGCTTTGAGTCTCAAAACAAATCATTGCTCTTGGTAGGGTTTTAAAACAGAACGTTCCAGAATTCAGGCTAAAACCAGGCCACAGAGCAGTACAAAATGTAGGTCTGTGTGTGTTACGTTATAAAATACCAATAAAATATATATGCAAGGAACCGAGAGATTTCGTGGCTTAGTCACTTGTCAGATACGTCGATAAGATTGACAGTCAACCAACTGGAAATGTCATAACCTCGTCCATTTGTACAAATTATCATTTGTTTTGTCCGGATCTTTTTGCCGTTCCGGTCACGTCTAGCTACGTTCGTGTTGAAACAACACGCAAATCGTATCCAACGATTGTCTTTTTCTTGTTTGATTCTGCCAATATTTTTTTTAAATGATAAATTCATTCTTATTGCGTCTAAAGTCAGAAGGTGACAAAGCGCAAAAGAAGCCAGCTTAAAACAGCAATAAAAATCGAATATAGCCAATCACACATCTTTCACTTTTATTTTAATTTTGACTAAATTTTAGGCAAGGTGTTGAAGGGAAAACTTTGTTCGTCAGCTCTTCAAATTCTTATTACATTTACGAAAACTGCTGTGCAAAAGAAAGTAAACTCCGGATGTGGGATCTAGAGTAAAGTAGTTGACACCCATCCGAGTGGGAAGCCTCATATTGTATCACGCTTTATTTAGAACTGTTACACTAACTTGTCCTTATCCACCTGCTTCAGTATAGGCTCAATCCCAGAATCAAGACTTCAACCTCTGAAATATACTGACTATGACTTTCTATAACGGTTTTCCTTCGATTTCTCGAAATTTCGTAGTCATAATAAGTGACTATTTTAGTTTCTCTTTCTTATGCTAATGTTAATAAATATAAGAACCTTGTGATTGCTCTGTGTGCCCCCGGGCTAATTCTTCACACATGAAATACATCAACTTGAACAATTTTGCTAAAAATGGTAGCTGGTAGCTTTGGGATATCAAGGTTTACCACAAAGGCTAAATATCGTTTTCAAACCTAGGCTAAAAAAAGCAAAACCGTATTGCTTAAGTGATCGTGCAACGCGCTGATTCATTAAGGCAAATCATAACATAATATCGCAATTTCCTTTGTTTCATTTTACGCAATCAGTGGGCCTTTATTGTTATTGTTATTGTTATTGTTATTGATAGAACTGAAATGCTTTGCGTTGTTCCCTCTAAAAATTGCTCTCACACGATATCATTACTGAATTCGGCTGCAACGGATATCACAGTGATTTTTAACGTGGTGAGCTGACTAACCTCTGAAAATATAGAGTTCTCAAGCACCATGACTATGTGAGATGAGAATAAAAGAATAACGATACTGATGCACTTCATAGAGTCGTTAAGGCAGGGTGTTATAACCATTTCTTTGTTTTGCTTTGCGTTGGCCTACAAACTTTCTCTTTAACTCCTCTGCTCTCCAAATTGACTTATCGCTTCCAAATATGGTTAACGCTAGAGTTGATTTCTGTGTATTAGAACTGTTTGTCTCATATTGTGTTAACAGCTTACAGTGCTAAATTACACAGGCAGGAATATTTAAGGTCCTGTCTTACCGACTTTGTAATGAATCCCATTAGTGTATCAAAAATTTGCCACTCTTTTTAATTTATATTGCATTCAATTTCATCTTTTTCAGGGCGCCAGAAACCAAGCATCAAAAAGTCGTGAAACGACGATCAACGCCAGTAACTGGAAATGAAATCCTCGCTGTGAAGCAAAACAGCGAAGAATTTGAGAAACGAGCCTTAGACAGCAAGCAACGCATTGAGGACACCAAGAAAAAATACAATCTCAAAGATAGAGACTACAATGCAAGGACATATGTATGGAACGAAGTAGATGAGAAGCAGGCCAAGAAGGAAAGAGAACAGAGAAAACTTTTACGACAACAAATTCGCATCAAGTACAATTTACCCACACCGAAGTTCCACAGGACTGCGGCGGTTGTTTCAGGATGAAAGGGTGGTCTAGAAATTTGGGGTGGTATAACGCAAGGATTAAAGCAGTGGTAGCAATTAATATGCTGAGATCAGCGTCCCTGAGGAAATTTCTGAAGGCGACTGACATAGTTTAAATTTCCCATGATGTGACAAAAAAAAACCCTTAAGCAAACACTCGATCAAATTTGGGAACAGCAATGAACATAATTAAAGCGTGATAAAAACTTTGATTTCAACGACGATGTTGAATAGTTTTTGAAAGAGAGAGAGGGAAAAGACAGTTTTTCTCCTGTTGTAATTTAAATTATTTACTGTCACCAGAGATATTTATTTTTGTCTGTAAGGAGAGTTATAGAATGTACAAAGTAAATACATCATCTCAAATAATATCCTGTCTTGGATAATTGTTTACATGAAACTTTTGGGCCTACTTGTATCCATTGCTTCATGCGGAAATGATAACAGATGATTTCTAAACATTTTTACGACTTATGCTAACTTCTATAGTTTCCGCGACTTTGACTGTTTTTCTGATGTATAACTGTACCAGTTCCATTCCAGCCATTTATGCTTCTTGCTTGCTTAACCTACATAAACCGATGATGTACGTTATCGAGGCTGAGCTCTGTTTGCTGGAGATTATAAACTGAAACCATAATTGGAACTTTCTGGCCACTCTCGTGGCTGCTTATTTGATAACAATGAAATCAAAACACATGAAATCTAGATGGCCGAATTTCTTTGCAGGTGAAAGTAAACCCGCCTCATAAAATTCATCTAATGAATGTTCCCAACTAATCTGCACTCTGTGGGAGGGATATAGGGTGCTAAAATGGTTTTTCGCCGAGCAGCTGAAGGAAAAGAGGCTCGTGATCCGGGACTGCACTTACTTTTGCAAGCCTAACATGCAAGTCCCGTATGTACTCTGATTCTGGCTAGTGGAACATTAAAAAGCTAGGCAAGCTGCATAAAAGCCATTTATTCCTGAGGGGAGTAAATTTTCTTTTAATCTTTTGCGTAAAGCATTATTGTTGTTATTACCCAGTAGACATTTTTTTCAAAGGTCAGCTAATTAATGCCCCTAAGGTGGTTACAGTTTCCTTCTTCTGGACACCTGACTTGGCTGCAAGTCAATGTCAACCTCGTTCCCAGGGCCTTTTCCCTAGATTGGTGGTTTTGGCAGTGATTTGGGTATCCCCGTGTTTTAGGTACCCCCGTACCCAAATCCCAAGTGTTTTGGGGAACCCAAAACACTGAAAGCGTTAAATACCACAGACTGGGGCAAGTGAAATCATCCATAATTCTGCTGAAAAACCATTTATCTTCTTACGAAACTTTGTCTCAATAAACTAAAACTTTCTCAATCTTGATATAAACGCATAAAGTTGCTGAAGATAGTCGCAATTTATAACAGACTGTCTGATCCGAGTCCGCAGTTATAACGACATACAAAATGCATTCACGCGCCAAAGTTCCTTGTATGAACACGCGCTGGGTGCCTATCGATAACCCTTGAAATGCACGTCATTTTAAACAAGAAAGCCGCAATCTAAACCTCGGATAGTTCGGCGATTGAATAAAATCAATATGCGAGCGAGCACACTTAGATGCGGCCATCACGCAATACGCAAGTCTCAAGCTGTCACTGACTTCTGTGTACGGTTGCCTGTCTGAAATGAACTTTGTCTTAGACTTATTTATTTGTCGCTCTTTTCCATCACTCCTATTAGATTTTGCCATTAAAGCAGTTTTCTTCGGAGACATCTATAAAAAATGCAAGTAAAGTAGACAAGACTAAGTCCTTTGATCTTTGAACACTGGGAAAGTGGGATACCCAAATCCCTAGTGATATGAGTATCCCTTTCCAATATGCTTGGTTGTTATCGTTTCTTTAATTCAGGGTAGCCAAATCGACCGAAGATAAGAGGGCAAACCTAGCTTACAAAGACGAAAGTCATTCCAATGAGGAAAGGACTTAGAAATGCTTAAAATGTAAGGGGTACCCAAATCCCTAGTGATATGGGTATCCCCTTCTAGAGTGTTTGTTTGTTATCGTTTCTTTAGTTCAAGGTAGCCAAATTGACCGAGGATTAAGAGTTTCTGCCTGAGAGACCGGGGCAGACTTGGAAATGAAGGTTGACCGATTTCGCTTAAAATTGGTACACAAANGATGAGATTGACGTTTGTTTTGTACCAAGAAAGTTATTTCAGGTGTACTTTCAGGACACACGCAGTACTGTCATTTGGCACTCATTGTTATGTGGTCCCTATGTTTGTCCACTCAAATTGAAGTATTTTCATACACATTTTATGGCAAAATATAATAAGGCACATTTTTTACTTTGGCACTCTTGAAATGATAAAGTACATAATCCTTTTCAACAAGAACTTCACATCTACATTTCCAGGCTGTCTGTAAGTTTCTTTCAGGGTTTGTTGTGAGAATTTGGTGATATATCAAGACAATATCCTCCAGTTCATAACCTTTCTTCACAATGCTTAGTCCTTACTATTCAGAGTCCTGAGCCAAGAAACAAATTCTCCTTACTGGTTTTGAGTTATCTAGACAATTTGTTTCTGAAAGTACTCTCTAAATCCCCTTTAATGTTTCTTCACGATTATGTTTGAGACTGTCGGGAGAAATTTAAGGTTCATCACCAAGCCAGAAAGCAGTTGGTCATTGATCCAATTAGGCCCACCGTCTCATAATATGAATATTCATCAAAAACAGTATTGCATTCTTAAAAGGAATGTTTGTATAACCTAACCCTGAAGGGAGAGGGTATCCAGTTAGCAATACCATCTCTATTTGCTTAAATTCTTTGCCTGCATTGTGTTCAATTATTCCTAATACACGCACCATCAAGTGATTAGAAAACCTTCCTTTTAACAGAAAATAGTGATCAGACTCACCCAATAAGGGATCCAACATCTCAATTTGATTCTTTTTCCTATCGAGTCTCAGCACAGCTTTTATAGCTTCCTGTCTGTTTTGTATCTACATAAGAATCAGGAAATGTTTCAACTTTTATGACATCCTTCATTGCTTAATTTCAAAAGCCACACAACTATAAAAATTAACCAGATTTTTTCCATTTCAACCCTACAAGGGCAAGTTTGGACAATAAAGTTATGGCTAAGTCTGCATCAGGCCAAGTTATCCAAACCACAACAGCTTATATCCAGGTCTCTCTTGCATTAAGTGATATTAAGATTTATTATATGGAGAAGAGTGTTTTACTGGGAACTAAACCACTCGTAGATTCCATACGCCACTTCATCCGGGACCCGAGTGGC